ATTTAAGTTTTTGTTTTCTCTAAAACATATTATTTTTTTGTTTTACATATTTATGTGTCTAATCTAGGAACACTATGTATATCTAGATACCATGCACGTCAGATAAGAAAAACAAAAAAAACAAAAAACTTTAATATTTTATCATGAATCTGTAAAAAAAATTAAAATTTTATAAAAACTAATAAAAATGACAAAATTTTGAAAGTAAATTTGCTTTTGCTCTCAAAGCAAAAAAAATAGTAAAATTAGCTTAATAACACATTCTTTATTGCCTAAAATTTCAAATATAAATTCAATAAAAAATGGCACTGCGATCAGGAGGAAAATTCATGAAGGAGATAATGAGGAATTATGTGGGTCAAACTGTAAGTTATATTTACTTATTATTAACAAACTTAAAAATTTTCAGAGAAACAATAAATAAATTCGAATGACAGTTGGAATTTGAGGAACAATCATAGATCTTATAGTATACATGTAGTCAGATCAAGTCAATTTTGATATTAAGTTTACATAGTAACATCACAATAGCTTTTAAAATACATTAAAATCAGATTATTTATTTATTTATTTATTTATTTATTTATTTATTTATTTATTAGACATCAATCGTTATATAGATAATATTTTCTTTACATAGTACTAAAAAGATATATATTATTTTTTTATAAATATTTTTATGCAGTCGTCATCTCAGAGTATGCAGGGATCCACGTCATCAATCCAGCAAAAGTATCATCTCCAAGTGCAAAAACCTGCTTCGACCACAATTTGTAATAGTTTGGACAGTATTATCAAGAGGTTTGGCAATGGGCAAAACAATTCAATGCCCAATTTGGCAGAGAACAAACCCCCCCAGAAAGGAATTATCAAATGTGGAAAAATTTATTCCGTAGTATCAAATTTTTTGCAAAATAATTTAGAAAAAGTGGCGTTGTTGAATTCCAGCAAGAGTTTACAACTATATGCAACTGCAAAGGAGAATAGCGAAAATGATAAGTAAGTTAGAATATATAGTTGAAACTTTTATAAAATGATATAATAGATTGCTTCAATTGGAATTAAATTTTCATTTGACGATTACTAATGATAATTCGAGGGCATATTACAATTTTCAAAATTAATTTGTATTTAGGGCATTTTTTATTTAATATTAATTTTATTTTTGTGACTTTGGCCCTTATAATTTTTGACTTTTCAAATTTTTGATATATATTTTTATCAAAATATTTGAATATATTTGTTTCCGTTGTTAGAAATTCTTTGAATTTGAATCAGTTACAGATTACTTACAGTTTCCTTGCTTGCTGAATAATCTTATATTTTAAACATTCGTTTAAATATGAAGTTTATACGTGTTTCTAAACAACTATTGTAATTTTTAAAATACTTACTCACAATATACTAGAGTTTATATAAAATACTCCAGAATTTTAATAAAATCCAAATAAATAGGGAACATCGCCACCTAACAGTGGCCGGATATTTTAAACCCAAATATTAGCAAGATAAATAATAGGCGAAATACGGACAAAATGATAATGTATTTTATTTTTAACTTAAATTTATTTATTCAAAAATATTACAATAAGTGTCAATTGTTATCAGACATCATAGATTCATTCACTGCCAATAGTCTTTTAAAAGACTATTAATTAAGAAGGAAATTAAGTAATAAATTAATTAAGTAGGAACTATAATTACATATTTAAGAAAAATTACAAAAACCATTTTGTCCATATAGTACGGAAATTGACATAATTATTGAATCCATACTAAGATACTAATTTATGAGAAGATAGTACACAAACACCATTTGGTTCTTTTCGGGAAAATATACAATGCAATTTCAAGAACAATACAATTTCAATTCAGCAAAATTGTCAAAAACGTCAAAGATCTGAGAAAAGATGGATTAGCAATAAATGCTAGTCTGTTCTTTTTACTGGTGGATTCTTCGGTCTATTTTTAGAAGTAGTTGAAGTAACAATTAAAAGTCAATTACCGTCTCCAGAATTCAATTTCTTCTCTTCCTGACATCGAATAAACTACCCTGTTGTTCTTGCGAAATAGTACTATTTAATTTTATTCATTGTATAAGTATATATATATATATATATATATATATATATATATATATATGCCATTTTGTCCGAAAGAGAACAAAAATTAATAAATAATCAAAATTCTATCAAACGTGATGGATAATTGCAATAAAAATGGTCGAAATTACTAGCACTGACATTAAGTTCATTGATTTTAGTACAAATAATTATAAAAAACAATATATAAAAATCATAAAAAAACATAACAAAATTTTTGAAAAGGCGATACACGTTTGAACTTATGATGATGATCAACATCTGAGAGGTTTGTGATTATAGCTTTCTTCATGCTATATAATCGCCAAAACGTTCGTAAAACTAGTGGGGCGTATGGCATTGTGCCTTAAGTTTGCTGGAACTTCCCGTACCAAAAATTATTTTTTTAAAAAAAAGATGGACATTATTTAAAAAAAAATACTTTGTAAAAATTAGATTTTTGAGAAACTATAATATTTTGACAAAGAAAGAGACTTTTTGAAAAAAATGTTTTCTTTATTTTGAAATATTTTGGAAATTCTGAACTTTTTTCAAAGCAATCGTACTGCTTTAACTGCATAGAGACGAAATATCGAAGCGCGTAAGCGCCGCGTCGCCGTCTTACGGATAAACATTGGTACGGAACCGATAGAAACAAAATTTATACCTATTTAATTTAAAATCTCTATAAAATATCTGAAAATTTGATGTGCGTATGTCTAATGATTATTTTTGGCCGCCAAATGGCACTTTTTCCACTAGACCTCCGAAACCGCTAGCCTTCATGAAAATTTGGTCAATTCTTCATCTTGTTAATACAAGTAAAATGTTTTTTGAATTATTAAAATCGGACTCTCCGCTCTCTTAGAACTGAGTTACCGTTTTTGGCACTTTTTTCCCCGTATCTTCGAAACGGCTGGACCGGTTGGACCGGCTTATGGCAAAAACTAATCAGCACGTCTCCTTATCAACAGCAATCGAATGTTTTTTGAATAATCGAAATCGGTTGAACCGTGTTCCCGAAATCGTAGACGAAAATTTGTATCCGCACATACACACACGCACACACATACAACCATTTTTTTAAGGTATGCTAAAATGTTCAGAAACCTCTGAAACGTAAAGATAGAAACATTTTCATTTTCGATTTTACGGGAATGTTAACTAGGCAATTTTTAAACAAGGCCATTTTCTCATTTTGTCTTTATTTTATACCATTTTGTCCGTATTTACCCTATCTTAATATTAATTGATTTCCTTACCTTTCCTCGTCTATCACTCTCGTTACCACTATCTCCCCCCCCTTTTTTAACCCATTGTTTTGTGTATTTTTCTTTTCAAACTTCTGCTTCCATGCTTCTTGGCTCTTCCGTGCTTCAGCTTACAGTTCCCTGTATTTTCTTTTCTCGCGTAATTCGTCAATCATCTGCATTCTTCTTCTTTCCATTCATTTCAGTCCTTCTATTATTTCCCTATACAATAACTCTGAAACGAATTTCGGTTTCTTTTTAATAAGGTAAATTATTGTAAGTTTGAATTAATAGCTTAAATATCATTTAATAACGTAATATTTATATTAACAGATTAAAAACTAAAACATCAGATGTGATCATTTTTGATGATGGATACTCAAATTGCGATACACAAAAACTGTACGCAAACACGGCATGTCTGACGAAACCATTGCACAGAAGACGAAGGTTGCTAAAATCTACATTGCCTTGGCAGAAATATTATGCAAATATGTCGACCTACAGGTAAAAACTATTTTAATTCAATATTTTTTAACCAGTAATTGAAATTATTCTCTGTATTTTATAAGCGGTAGCAATGTATACTTGTACTAACTAGATTTATTACAAGGCACACATTGGTTGCCCTTTCTCTTTGTGATGATGAATTTTTACATATTACAAATGATGATTAATTTTTACATACTTCAAATTATGATGCGATATATTGCAGCAATGGCATGGCTTTAAAAGCTATTCTTACGTTAAAACATTCTTGAGTTAACATTTATAAGAAAAAATAGATATCGATATCACTACTCCTCGATATTCAGTCGTACGTACCGCTAGATTTGAACACGAAACCTTGTGGTTCAGAAAATTCATACCATTGCACACCATTGTCCGTGGATAAGTGGTTAGAGCTATGGGATTTGAATTATAAGTTTGATAACTATGCCTCGAGAGCAGCCTGATGTTAAGCGGCTGACATCGATTTTTTACTTAGATAGCAATATGTTTCCAGATAAAAAAAAATCTTGCCGTTTATTGCTGCATCCTGTATCACTATTGCAAAAATTGCAATTGTAAAAAAATCATAGAGAGATAAGAATAATATATCTGTTTTGGGTTTCCATCCACAAAACCGACGTAGTTGGTGAAGTCATATTATCCAAATATCTCATAGAACTTTTAAATTCTAATTGCTGATCTATTGCTAAAGAATAATAATAAAAAATATTATTCATTAGCAATATAAAAAATACGAAGTAAATAAGTGCAATAATTTATATAAATTATCCGAAGCACTAACTATTTGAACATTATTTGATTCATGATCATGAACATACATTTCTGTACAAAATAATAAAGTTTTACAATATCATCACATATTTTTTTTAAAAAAGATAAATTTTGTGTGTAAATTATAATTACTAAAAGCTTTTAGATAGCAAATATAGCTAAAAAGAGAATCTCTTAGAAATGTATTTTGTCGAATTTTATAACAAACTGTTAATGTTACAACGAAATTTTGTAACAAGTTTAAAATAGATTGAGAAAGTGGTTCTAACATCATTACTTTCAGCATTAATTTTATTCTCACGATTAATTTTATAATTTATTATATATGATTAATTATTACTTGAATAGGAAAAGAAGGCGTACTGGAAAGAAATTCTCTAGAAAGATGCGATACATTCTTTGTGGACGTCGCAAACCGATGGTGACTAATCAGTTGGCTCCCAGACGTAAACATCGAAAAGGTGAGGAACTAAATATTTGAGTTTAACCCTTTCGCTACGAGTGTCGTCTATAGGCGACATCCACTTGACGACCTGTGTGTATGATTGTCGCCTATGGACGACATCCACTTGACGACCTGTGTGTACGAGTGTCGCCTATAGGAAAACAATTTTTCTTTTTGAGTGAAATTATTAAGAAAAATGATTTGTTATAGTGGTTTTTAGTTATTTAGAATATTTAAATTCAGTTTTTTTTTATTTTTAGTTATTTAGAATAAATACATTTTTATTGATGATGCTCAAAAAATATTAAAAATTATTTTGTGTAACAAATACTGGCTTACTGGCACGTGGAGAAGCGTGTAACTCTTGCGGGAAGCACTCTCGTAACCAAAACGTTATATATCTCTAAAACTTTTTCTTGTATTAAGGGGGTTGTTCAGTTTTTATTTGTTTTTTTTTCGATTTGGAGATTTTTTGATATTATGAAAGCTAAAAACCTTAGAATTATTTAAAAAAAAAATCATATCAATATCTATTTTTTTGACGAAGTTATAGATATACTCGTATATATATCTCTATATGTATAATCCTCTAAAACAGTTTTTTCATCGCTCCGCGAGCTATTGTATGCCAGCTGCTCTCTTTTTCATTATAATACCTCATGCACATGACCTTTTTAATAATGATCATTTTTTAACACCATGCTGTATTTAGTACATTAAATTAAATGGTGTATTTAGTACATCATATTAAAAACTTTAAATAAGTTTTTCTCAAAATGACTTTTTTCAATGCGGTGCCACAAATTAAAAAAAAACTACAAGTCGGATCGACTTGCATTTTTTTAATTTGTTCACCACTGCAATACCTAGTCCCCCTACCTCAACCAACTTGATAACATAACGCAATATAACAATGCCTTCTTTAACACTTTTTTTTAAAAATGGCTGCCATTTTTTCCTTCTTGCTTTTTTTCTTTCATTTTGGTAGGGGGACTGGATTCACCATCCCTGTGGCACCGCAAAAGAGATCGAGATTTTGCAAGGCCGACTTTGGCATTGCAAACATTTTGACAAAACTATTAAAAATTTTGCAAATTCAAGCAATGCAGTGGTCCAAATTTTTCGTTTATTTTTTATATCACTTTATTTTTTTAATTTTTTTTTTTTTCGATAATGACATTTTGGTCCTCGTGAGGCTCCACAGGTTGGAAACTGTCGAGTAGAAGTAGTAAAATTATAGATTTTATGAATTTACTTTTTTCATTTTCTATATCATAAATTGTTTTATGATAAATATATACATAAAATTTGCTAAATAGGTAAACACCCAAAGAAAGAATGCCTTCGTGTCCGAATGCCTGGCTGCAAAGCTCTGAGTAAACGAAAGAATTGCGAAAGGAAGATTATTCGCAAAAAGTGCACGAGGGTCGTGCCTCCGTATCCATCTTTCACAGAATGCTTAAAGGTAACAAAAGCTAAAAGTAATTTTCGAAAATGATATAATGTGAACTGCAAAAGATTAATTATTGATGTATTAATTAAGATCACATCAACCTTTCAAGTCTATACCATCTTATTATTAGCACCAATAAACTGAACCAGTCAAGTGTGATTGACGAATATACTCGTCATGGAGAAGTGGCAGTGAAATAGAGATTTAAAAAAAAACGAAATATGGTCTGAAGTGCCAAGTTATTTCAATATTTTATTACTCATCATACTAGTTGTGTATGGCATCGTGCCTTAAGGCAAATTGCTGGAACTTCTCGTACCGTACTGTAACATTGTCTAATAATCATAAGAGTTATATAAACTGATGAATTACAAATTTAAAATGATTTATTTAAAGTATATAAGTGAGCTTTAGAATTTCAGCCAGGATTAAAATTAAAGTCTGAATTATTTTCGATATACAAAAAAAAAATTGGGAAAAAATTAAAAAAAAATTTTTTTTTTCAAAACCAATTTTTTTGTCAAAACAAGCAGAAAGTTTTGTGAATCATTCAAATCAGATGCTTTGTTCTCTCAAAAACTGCTATATTTTGCACATTTAACTCGGTATCTCCAAAACGGCTGGACCTGCCTTTGCTAAAAACTAACCAGCACATCTCCCTATCATTAGTAATCGAATGTTTTTTGAACCATTCGAATCGTTTGATCCCTGCGCCTGAAAAAACACATCGATTTTTTCTGGGTTATGCCAAAATGTTTAGAAACCTTCAAAACGTGAAGAAATGTGAAAATTTTCAATTTCGATTTTCGGACGATTACAATAACTTACTGCGGAAAGTTAATAAGTAGTTCTACATTGCATTTTACCTTAATGCAAGTTGTATGATTTTCCCGAAATGTAAGCTATTTAAACAAAAATATAAAAATAAAATATTGTAATAAATCGTTCCAATTTTGTGAATGAAACCCATATTTCTTATCCGAAATCTTATCATCGTAACTTTCTCTGTGTTTTACGAATGTACTCGTCATGAGCTCGAATCGCACGACACAAAATTGTGCAACTGTTCGATGTGAACGCCACATTTAACTGGTCAACTATTACTTATAAAATATGAAACCATTTTTAGTTGCACTGTTACATGTGGACAAGACCTATTAGGGTGATAAGTTATTTAATCTATAAATATAATTGTACAAAACATAGCGTTATAGATCTTGTTATGATTATGATAATATAATGGCATTTTGATTTACCAAAACTTCAAAAATGTAACTTTTTTTATGAAAAATATAGGAGCCGAGTCCAAAGCATGTCGAAACAGAATGCGACTGTAATGAATTAGATTATCTGCAGCCGCATTATAGCATTTTCAAGCCAGCATTGCCACGATATGATCTTCCAGAATTCCTCCTGCAACCACCTGAAGGTAAAAGATAAAAGTCTTAAGGCAAATTGCTTGAACATTTTGTACCGGAAAGTTAAAAATAATCGAGGAATTTTAAATATTTTTAGCCTGGATTAAAATCAAAATCCAAATCATTTACAATATTTAAATAAAATATTGAAAATAAAAAAAAAATTGTTTGAAAATTTGAAATAATAAAATGTTTTTTTGCTTTCTCCAAAACCTAATCATTTTTTCAGACTGTTAAAATGTTTTTTGAATTATTCCGATTCTGAATTAATTGAAACAGAAAAAGTATTTATACTTTCGTATACCAAATTAAACAAGCAAGCTTATTTGTTTTAATATATGCACTACCATAATCTCTGGCCATAATTGTAAAACATTTTCAAAACTCACATAATTCAAAGCTATTGTTTTGATTTGCTTTGAGATTATGTATTATAACTATAAAATGAGGTAATCCGTTTATAAAACAATTAAATTCTGATTCTAAGCATAGTAAGAACCAAATAATATGCGTCCGCAAAAGAAATAATTAAAATTACTAGTCTACAAGCACTGGTTTAGTGTTTTGTGCTAATGATATGCTTTACATTTTTTATTTTTAAAGTAAATAGTTAATGAAAATAATGTTTTCGAAATTATTCGTACCCACTGATAATGACAAAAATATAACTAATTATACATATAAAATATATATATAAATAGTTAATTATTTATATTTTATTATTATTTGAAATGGGAGAAAGATGTTTTAAAATCTTTTCCTTTTTTACATGGTTTCAGAATTGATTCACAATTATAATTAAATATAAGTGTCTCATATTACTAAATGTATCTTTCAGGAATATACAAACGTGAGAAAAAACCTCATAAAATTTACCACTGTGGTTCAAAGGAACAAAGTCCTACAGCTTGTGGAAGGGTAAGCTTTAATTTGCTACATTTATATGCCATATTTTACCACTGTTTTAAAAGGAAATACGGTAAACTCAAAGCTCAAAGATATTATTTAATAATAAACGACTCGATAAATTGACAAAAAAAAGAGAATATTGAAAATGAAAACCTTATCAGCAATCATTTATATACGCGAATTTAATTTGCTATAATTATCATGCCATATTTTATCACTATTTAACGGTAAATACGGTAAGCTCAAAGCCCAAAGATATTTATGAGAGATATTATTTGTTAATAATATTTAAAAAGATATTTGTATACCGCCAGCTAGTTATAAAATTTATGTATTAAACATTTATTTGTCTTGTAATTGTTGCAGTTCTTATTACAATCAATCACTAATTTGTCACTAAGTTCTAATTGTAGAAGAGATATTTATTTATCATTTATTATACATGTTGTTAAGGGGACTTTACTTTTACAAGTGAACAATTAGTCCTATCAAACTATCCAGGGGTAGCAACCAACCCGTGTAAAATTCAATGCCATGAAAATTGTCACCTTCATAGCCAATATAATAAAACGGAAATACATCCAAACAATATTATTTATTAATAAACGACTCGATAAATTGATAAAAGAACAAATGTTGAAAATGAAATACTTATGAGCAATCATTTATGAACGTGAATGGATGGGTAGAAATCATATTGAATTTTTAAACTCTAATAATTGATCCAAGAACTACTGAACCTTTTAAATTAAGTAAGGCTAAACTTTTTGTTGTACTGGTAATTGATTCTTAGCAAGTACAAAACCTTTGTCTGACAGGTTTCAGTCCTGCAGAAGTATATATTTTATTGTGATAAATTAAATCAAATATGTTTTATCTTGACAGAAATACTAAACTTACGTTCTATAAACTGTTGGGCTAAAACTTCTCCTTACTTCGAATTTTTAGATGGTAACCCAATGGTTAATCCATCCATATTTGATGATTATATTATTAGAAATTACGTAATAGGTCTGAATTATTTTTATTGGTGCAGCAATGTTGGGTAAGGGCTATTTTCACTTGTAAACGTATTGTTATCTATATTTCCAAGTAAAAATGGTAGTCACTGCTGCCTGACAACAGGCTGCTCGAAATGGGCATCGAACCCGGGACCTCTGAATCAAGTCCCGTCGCTCTTGATCGCTTACCTACCTTTTGCGAACCCAAATTGATTATGACGATAATTTCATTATTAAATTTTTCATAATATAATTTGCATGTACTATATTATAAGTTTTCACGTTACGTCTTTTAGATTACTTCCACTCCTGCCATAGCACCTTTTTCCTGGTATTGCACATAACTTATTGAGGCCGCTTAAACAAACACATAAAAATTCTAACCTTATAAAGTCAAAGTTTATTATAATGCATATACATCTTTTCATAAAAGTGTATTTTTCGGCTCTCCTGAAAGGTACTTGTGCAGGTTGATTTCTCTTTGCAATTTGATTTTTGAACTTCTCAATGAATAAATCAAATTGTATTAAAATTTGAAGCTTACTTAGAGCGCCTGATGGATGATAATGTTTTGCCATCGGTGCTAGGCAATGGTACTTTATACCAAGAATCACCAGTACAATAGACTATGCGCTAGTGAAATCATATATAGGGTGATTTTTTAAGTAATTTCGACTCTTACAAATAAATGAAAAAACTAGTGGGGTGCATGGCATCATGCTTAACGCAAATTGCTAGTACTTCCCGTACCGTAATTAAAAATCTTGGTACGGAATCTAAAAAAAATTACACAAAATGTGTACACATTATAAAAATATCTGATAATTTGATGTGCATAAGTCTAATAAACATTTTTGACCGCCAAATGACATTTTTCAAACTTATTTTATTGAGAGCCCATAATCAATGAACCTGCCTTACCAAAAATTTAATCAGTTCTTCACTTTGTTAATACAAGTAAAATGTTTTTTGAATTATTCAAATCGGACGCTCCGTTCTCTTAAAAACTGAGTTGCCGTTTTTGGCACTTTTTGCCCCGTATCTTCGGAACGGCTAGACCTGCCTCAGCCAAAAACTAATCAGCACGTCTCCTTATCAATACAAATCGAATGTTTTTTAAATTATCCAAATCGGTTATTCCATACTGTCGAAATTGTCGAGAACATTTGTTTGAACCATATAAATAAACTTTCAAATAAAAAATTTTGGTACGGAACCCAATAAAATTTACACAAAATGTGTATACATTATGAAAATCTCTATAAAATATCTTATAATTTGATGTGCATATGTCTAATGATCATTTTTGACCTCCAAAAGGCGTTTTTTGAACTTATTTTAATTGAGAGTCCCTAACCGCTAGACCTGCCTTCCCAAAAATTCAATCAGTTTTTTATCTTGTCAATACAAGTGAAATGTTTTTTGAATTATTAAAATCGGACGCTCCGTTCTCTTAAATACTGAGTTACCGTTTTTGGAACTTTTTGCCCCATATCTTTGGAACGTCTAGACCTGCCTTTGCCAAAAACTAATCAGCACGTCTCCTTATCAATAAAAATCGAATGTTTTCTAAATTATTCAAATCGGTTGATCCGTGTTCCCAAAATCGTCGACGAAAATTTGTATCCGTACACACACACACATGCACACATACACACACACAAACATTCATTTTTTCTAAGATATATCAAAATGTTCAGAAACCTAGTAAAGATATATAAAAACTTTTATTTTCGATTTTGTTGCGATTACTATAACTTGCCCTACGGGAAGTTAAAAACTAGATTCTGCATACATAATTGATAACATTTCCTAATGATGTTATGCAGTAAAATCTAGTCTTAACTGGCACTTATCTAAAACCGATATTTTATTCTCAATTCTAGATTTGTGCTTATTTCTGAACATTAGAGAACATTTAAGATCATTTTCATGAAAAAATAAAGATGTAAAATGATAAAATATTACAAGTATGTATATATAAAGTATAGAGTACCTACCCATACCCACAATATGTAAATCTTTTGATTTTTAATCTTAGTAAGAGTATATTTTTCTAATTTTACATGACGTACTACATATTAAATCGCTATTAATAGAAGAGATGATGAAAAACGATATTTGTTGTTAATTACATGTAAAACTTTGCCAAATGTATTACATTTTAGGTGTTAAAAATTAGTGCATTGCTGTATTTGGTTATATTTTGGTCATAATTTTTTTTTGTTATCAATAATCTAGGGAAAAAAGAAAAGCGATATGGTATCAGGCGCATGGCGCAGAATCCATTACCCACTTGGCGAAAAAACGCAAGAAGAATTAAAACGTGAAAATTTATCCCGACCAGACTGCGTTCCTTGTCCAAATAAAAACAACGAAAAACATGATAGCCAACCACTGGATAAATATTCAAGGTAAAACTTATTGGCAATATACAAAAAAAAATATTTAAAATGGCAATGCATGGTTATAATATAGTAGAAGCTCTATTTATTAGTTATATTGATATCCTCAGTGGACAAACATACTCTGTGAGACACAGGCTATTTTATAATCAATGACTCAGTTTGCATAAAAAAGTTGAATAAATTACATATAGCAGTGATAAACAATATTGTATTTTGAAAATAATTTTAAGTTATTTTAGTAGTCTTTTTAGCTTTTTTCTTCGCTATATGGTCTTTTTTTATTATTTAAAACGACCGAGCGCTTTTAAATATGGCAAAACGAATGGTAAATTTTGTAAATTAAGCAGTAGTGAAGATGAGTTTCAAATAGACATTCATACAGACAATTTTTACGAAATTACTATTCGCAACGATGATAGTGATGAATGTGATGATGATATTATCCAACCAACAAAAAGAAGAAGAAGTTCGACAAAATAAATGAAGAGCAGGAAGACATTAGCGAATGTGCCGATTCTCCTTCAATAATCGAGTTTGACATACATCAACAAACACCACGATTACAAATACCAAGCAATATAAGACATCCAATAGATTATTTTACTTTATATTTGATAAATGAATTATTAGACAATATAATAGAAAAAATAAACCATTATGGCAGCAAAAAAATGACCAAATATACTGACTAATCAGTGGCATATTCTAAATGCGAGTGAAAGAAAAAGGGATTGTATTGTCTGTTCCGACAGAAAAGCACCAGGAGGGAGGTGACGAACAACATTTTATTGCAAAACATGTCAAAACCAACCAGCTATGTATTTTGGAAATTGTTTTGAACGTCACCATTCTTTATAAAATGATCAAAAATAAATTAATATTATAAATGTATGTCCTTCAATGACCACAAATTTTTATCAAACAAATTGCATGACATACACAATGAAATCAAGTTTACAGCCGGTAAAGTGGATTGTTTTGAAATCCGTGCCGTTCCTAAAGTGTTAATATCAAGTTTATTCCAATATTTATCAGCAAAATTCCTATATTTATTTAAATATTAATAATTCTTATATTTATTTACTTGAATATTACTGAGTCGTCAGTCAGTACATGTATTATTATACTGATATAAGGCGATGGCTAAGATAAAATGAAACAGGTACATAAATAGGCTTTTTCAACTTTTAACTATATATTTGTCAATTGGTCAATCACTTACAGATTTAGCGCTCCGCCAGAAGGAGAAAACAAATCCAATAAAAAATGTGTGAAACCTACATTATCTGGAACTTCTACTAAAAGTTATCATAATGCAGCTAATACATCAGATAAAACACATTGGTAAATACAATAACATATTTTTATTTTATTCTATACATACATATATATATATATATATATATATATAGTACTCTCGAATATCACTAAGTTTGCAGAAAATCATCGTTAATTAGTTTACTATTATTGCCTTTGGTTATGCAATCATTATCTTCCTACATTTAATACCCGTTCAAAAAATAATTTTGTCGATGTACTTTTAGGCTTCCAAAAAAATCATGTAAAAAATCTACAGATTCTATTAAAAAATCTAAAAGCAAATCTATAACTAGTGGGTCTAATAAAAGTAAGAAATGCTGCAAAAGTACAAAAATATCGAAAGTCAGGTAAATAAAATAATAAATTTAATATATATAGTTGATAAATCCAAATCTAAGTACTTGCAAAACAAAATTTATAGATCAAAATCTAAATCTGAAGAAAGTAAAACATCGCATTGTGAATTACGTAAGTTAGAATGTCAAAAATCTAGCGTGGATATTACAAAAAATACAGATCCAGAATATTTAGAATTTGATCAACATTGGAAACAATCGAGTAAGTGTTGATATATAATTATTTGAAGAAAATTCTGTTAGAATGTTTTAAATCAAAATAAAAAATATTTTATTTAGATCGGTATAGCCAATCGGGCGACAAAAATTTGACTCGATCAAAATCTTCTGGCTCAAATAAAAAATGTGAAATGAGTTCAAAACCTTTAAGGAGCAGAAGTTCTCAAAGTAGATTGACATATGATGGAAGCGATGCATTGAGAAAATCTTCTAGTGGAACATTAAGGTAATATTAACTTCAAAAAACCATCCCTGTTAATTAAAGACTCAGTAAAGTTCATAAGAATTGCTACATATTATAAATAATTTTGGCTAAATAGGTATCCAATGAGATCTATTTCCTTTTTTGTTAAAACTACTGAATTAAATTTTATTTGATAAAAAATTTTAAATTCAAAGTGTAGCGACTGTGTACACTAACAATGTTTTATTGAAGAAGAAACAACAGGATTTGAAAGTTACATTAACATGAAAAAATATGCCAAAAGATAGTTTTTATCATTAAAAGTTAGTACCGATCATATACACTTAATAATAATAATAAAAATATACATGGGTCTTTAATATAAAATATATACTATTAACTATTGCAGTCCAACTATTGCTAGTTGATAATCGATAATTGATTGACTAATTCTATTAAAAAATTTAGTCATACAATGTCTAACACATAATATTTTTGTCAATAATGTTATTCCAAGTCATTACAGCTAGTAAAACTAGTAAAAAACCAAAAATTCTTTCTCCAGTTTGTATCTCTATTAGCAAGTATTTTTTTTCAAAAAATATTCAATTCCAAATTGATAATTGTGTTGATCATGAAAATTAAACAATTTCCAATATGGATTGATTTTTATCAATAATTATCTATTTTAATTTGGTCATTTTAATGAAGAAAAATAATATTTATAATAATTACTATAAAGTTGTTTTTGCCAGTCAAAGATCTTCGAATGCTTCCGTGTCGTCGAAAACTTCATCAAAAAGTGTTACCAAAAGTTGTTCAAGTGGACCTGTAGTAACTCGTAAGGCTGGACAATCGACCAGAAGAATGGCTGGCAACCCCTGTAAAGCAGATCTGAAAAACTGTGCTAGCGAATGTGGAAAGTTGGATCTTAAGAAAAAAGTGAAGAAGAAAGTTGATTATACTTCGTACGTTTGTATTTTTATATAAGCAAATTTAGGGACAGATTCTGCCACCTAACAGAAAAATATTATGGCAAGACCATGTTACGCACCAACTTCCATACATTATGCTACTGAACTATACTGAATACTGTCAAAATGTCATGTATTTGCTGTGTATTCAGGCGTTTTACACATAAACTGCAACGTCATTCGTATGTTATGAAGCTGTGTCTGAAACACCCTGTTATCTAAGATCATTTTTGTTGATATTTTTGCGGTTTCTAGGTTAGATTTTTCATCTGACAACCTGAGAAATTCGCTTGACTGCACACCAACCACAAGGCTTTTGTCAATATCCAGTATGGAATGTTCTTCATAACATGGCCTTGTCATAACATTTATCTGTTATGCGGCAGAATCGGTCCATTAATCTGTTTCATAATTTAATTCAGATAATGATTATACAAGTATAAAATGAAGAAAGTTGCATGAAGTTTCATCTAAATTTATTTTAATTATAATTTCAAAAGGGCTGTTTTTAGGCTGTTTTTAGGCTTTTTCCGGCAATTGTTCGATTTTTTCTCGACGTAACAACCATCGTTTGACTTCAACGAACATTTTAAAAAAAGAATTGACCAAATTGGTCCAGGCGTTGTTGAGTTATGCGCTTACCAATACATTTTGCGATTCATTTTTATATTTTAGATGATATTTTCACTCCAGAAAATTAGAAAAAATATTTTAATCCGATTTTGAAACAAATTTCTAATAAAGTTTATATATGTATATATATAATATATATAAATTTACAATAGCAAATCTTCAAGTACATCTTTACTGTCGGCGAAGTCGTCAAAAACTCTTTCAGCAAGTTCGAAGGAATCTCTGAACAAATGCGTATCTGGACAATCGGTCAGAAGAATGCCAGGAAATAAATGCAAGGCTGATCTGAGAAATTGTGCCAGTGAATGCGACCAAAAGAGATCAAAAATTACAAAACCCATTAAAGTTGAAAAAGAAGAAAATAAGTGTGCCCGGTATGTATTTAATTTTTTATGTTCTAAGCATGTATAGGGTAGACTGGATACGTTTGTGTCATGGTGCGGTACTTGGCAGTCGTCATAAAAGCTAAACTATACTGATTTTGAGATAGGGTCTAAGGGGGGGCAAGTATGGTCATCCGAATAAGTTCCCATTATTGCTTTCGGTCTGTGCCCTACATGATCTGTAGACCGCATTGCTTTTAAAAAGTCAAAAGTAATTTTTTTTTGTTCGAATTCTTTTAACTGTTAATTGTATACAGATCACTTGCTGTGAACATTAGTAGATATTTACAAGCAATTAGTTTCTGCTATTATTTTCTTAGTTCTTGATTTTTTCTTGAAATAACATTTCGAGTCTATGCACATAAAAAACAATTATCTTCTATATATATAAAAATAAGTCGGGTTTTCCTTCCTGACGAAATAACACGAGAACGCACGAACCGATTTCGACAATTTTGCTTTCGTTGGAAAGGTCTCGGGCTCCGCAATGTTTATAGCTAAGAAAATTAGTTGTGCATGGCATCGGGCCTTAATGTAAGCTGCTGGAACTTCACGCACCGTAATTAAAAAATCGAGTACTGACATTAGTGAGAATTATCAGAATTATGCTTGGTTAAGTCAACGAGCAATTCTTGCCGCAAAGAATAATGATATACACGCCTTGAATTTCACCATTCAATCAAAAATTGCTGTCGATTTGGTGACATACCAATGATTCTGATTCTGACTGGTCTTCCGTTTGACTTCAAACGATTGCAATTTCCAGTTCGCCTTGCGTTCGCAATAACAAGTCGCAAGGCCAATCGCTTAGTGTTTGCGGGATAAGTTTCAAATAGATTATTTAGAAAATCATTGTTTTTCACATATACGTTGCCTGTTCACGAGTTGGAAAACCATCCGCTTTGTTTGTGTTAACGTCAGACCAAAAAACAAAAAATGTGGTTTACCAAAGAGCACTTCAATGAAACGTATAATTTGCGGATTCACTTTCATTTACTTAGAGAAGTTCAACTAAAGAACTTCATTTTTGTAATCGGAATAAATTCATTACTGTTGTATAATAAAATCACATTTTTCCTTTTCAAATATAAAACAAACAAAAAATTTCTTAATCTTTCTCACGAAACTATCTGGTGGCAAAACGGAGTTCGTCGGGTTTGCTAGTACAATTATAATTTAACATAATTTACTTAACGCGCTAGTATATTGCCTCTCACAATTTACTGGATATTGATTGAAGGTGTTACGAAAATAAATGTTTTTTTTAGAATTTAGATCTCTCAACTTATTATTTATCTAAATTTTCTCAAAAGAAATGGTATCTATAAATTTAAAGCATGATAACTATATCTGTAGCGTTCTGATAATTAGATTATATTGTGTTAAATTATGTATGATTATTTTATTTTAATAATATATTTTTTGTAGACGATTAGAATTTTGGTCTATGAAAATGGTACTTTTTAACAAATTTTGCTGCATTCGTAAAATATTAAGATAGTAAGATAGTACCGTAGTCAAAAAATATAAAATAATATAAAAAAGGTCACTATTACCAACTCTATCGCTGAAATTGAAACTAATATATCATTCTTATCTCGCATGCGTTAAAATCATTTACGAGGTCAATATTTTTGTTTTAATTGATTTCCATAGTGTCAAATCATTTCAGATCATTAAGTCAATTATCTACTTATTAGATTTCATAATGCCAAGAATTTAATATTTTCGATCCATTCGAAGTGATGCTTTTTTGTAATTTATCCCTCACCGTAAGTTAGGTGCTGGATTATATTATAATTGAATTGCTAATCGCTATTCAATTAATAGATTTGAAGAATGGAAGAAAACTTGCAAAGAAAATGAGAGGGACAAATCACCAAAATCCTTAAATTCGAAGGATTCACTGAAGAGCACATCAAGTACCTCTATTACCCGTTCACCTCTACCAGACCGTAAAGCCAGCATAGAAATGGGTTCTGGTAAAGGAAAACGAAAGCACAGGGAAAGAATTGAAAGATCTAATTCAGGGGGATCGGTGGGGACGTCTTCTTCGGGACCTAACACAGTAAATAATAAGGGGAAACAAGTTGAAGTGGAGAAAGTCATTTCTGATAAGTTGGCCACCAATCCTGGTGGCAAAGTATCGCTGGCTGCTTTCAACCAGAAACACAACTTGGTAATTAAAAAGTTTAATTATTTGTTGTCATTGAGTATATAAGAAATTTATAAAATATTTTTTATGCGATAGATTAACGCATGCAACAAATAATATAATTAAATTAAATCTAAGATATTTTGTTTACAGCCACCTATTCCAAATTTCCCAATAACATCTCGAAAACGTCCTTGCTTCAAGCCTCAACACTATCCTAGAACAAACAAGCCTTACAGGTAGGATTAAAGCACACAATGATACATAATACTTTGATAATATTATTTAATCATCTGCTGTACTTCTTGCCAATGTCATCATTTATCTATTCTATATTAATTAAAAATGAAATAAAATACCTTTTTTTATTATAAATGAAAAAACTAATACATATCTCAGCAGAAAAATGCACATACAAATAGATTTTTTTAACATAATTTGTAAAAATAAAACTAAGAATAATATTAGTCAAAAATAAAATATAAATAAGTTTAATAACTATGAGTCAAAACTATATTTTACGTTCAGTTCAACTCATCATCAGCAAACAATGTTGTGGAGGAAGATAAAAAAAAATTAAAATGGTAGATATTTTCGAAACTGTTATTGATAAAAAAAACATAATTACAAATGAAGCAATCCTTAAAATGAAACCATAATTTTATTTGCAGATTTTGCGAACGCATACGATCACCAGGATGTCCAAGGAGATTGAGAATTATGTGCATTAAGAAAAATATAGTGCGAAAATGTAAAAGGCCATTCAGTCCAAGGTGAATATCCATTATTAGAATAATTTTGTAAGATTAAATATTCTGCTAAGACCTACGGTGGATCTTAGATCTTAGTAGAATAAATACTAGCAGAATGGTAATAACATAAATTTTAAAAAATAAAGATGTAGACGATGTTTGAAGAAAAATATGTCTTATTTTATTTTATGCTAATTCAGAATTTTTATTTTCTTTATAAACGTATAAATCAATAAGCAATCAACAAATATAAATGTTAGGATTCGAATATTTGGATATTTCTTGTTCAACGCATCGAATTTATTATCTAAATCGCCAATAGGTTTCTATAACAATTGTAATATTTAAAATACTAATAAATTTTAACCAAAACCATATAATCTGCAGGCCATCTTTTTCGGAATGCATGAGACCAGCATGGCCTAAATTCGTGAGAAATGAGTGTAAAATTGCTGAAATGAACCTCATGTACCCTAAGGTAAGCTCAGTAAAATGTATATGAATACTACTAAGTTTCGGTGATTGTTTAAATTGTACGTCATTGTGATTTTTTTTTAATTTTAAAATGTTATTTATTGGTGTATATCATTACAAATTTACCTTCACGAATTACAAGTGGCCTTCACAAAACTATTAGTCTAAGGCCAGTGAACTATTTGACTAACCTATTTTCACAGAGCTAGAAATTTTTTTAATATTTTTTATTATCAACCCATTAAGAAAGTACCATTCTGGCAGTCATTCCGCGATTGCGTCAACATCCCTTTAATTTGTGAAAATGTCAGAAAAAAATTTTTATAACTTGCTCCCACAAGGCTCAAATTTTGAGGGTGTATTCTTTTAACTGTTTAGAAAGCATATGTAAAAAGCCAGCCCATTCTGAGGATTGCAAGGGTCTGATATTGAAAAAAAAATTACGTGATTCTATTCATACTGGCTTACACCACATAATGTATATTAATATATGCTAAATAATCCTTTATTATTAGCTAAATAGGATGAAATAATTTTTCAATTAATGTTTTCGGATAGTGCGTTTTGTTTAATTAATTTATTATTAGCGTTATTACGTTATTACGATCGGCCCAACTGTGGTTTAAAATTAGCAGAAATAAGCAAAAATCTTTGTCCACGTTTATTAAAAAATCCTAACCGGATTTTAGAAAACTAAATGCCCATCAAAACACATAATTTGGAAACTATGCTGATCAGTTTTTGGCAAAGATCAGCTGGGCCGGTTCTTCGTAAATAAACATTATAAAAAAGTGTGGCGATTTTAATGAAATTCAACATGGAAATAAAGTTTTTGGTCTAAAACTCTCGACGAACATTCTTAAATATTATAGACCCCCAAAAAGTGGAAGAATTACAGAAAATAATATACAAGCACTCGTTTGCAAGTGTGCGCGAAAAATGCTTACTTAAAGCAAAATACCACTTACATTTAGTTTTAATATAATTACTAAAATAGTAAATGATGGCATACCATCTCTATAGAAACATCAATGGTATAATAACTACACAAGTCCACAAAATGAAAAAAGTTGTCTGTATTGGATATACAACATAAGTTTTCCAATGCCCTATTCACCTCAAATATCTTAGGCAACAGATTTCTGCAAAGCTTTATTCATCTTTATTGATTTTTTTTTGTAGAATTTAGCAGCATATGGCAGCAATCTGCAAACAGATTTTCAAATAATGGTTGGTAAGCGCATAACTCAACAACGCGCTGGACCAATTTGGCCAATTCTTTTTGTAAAATGTTGGTTAAAGTTCAAAGATCGTTCTTACGGCGAGAAAAAATCGAATAATTACCGGGAAAACCCTGAAAACAGCCCTTTTTTTTCACATACAAACGTTTTCTAACTGAAACGTAGAATCAATTTGAGCTTTCATTTTCAAACAAATAATAAAGTGAATTAGAGAATTCATAAAGGTAAACTGGTGGACAGGTAAATTGGAGAATATGTAAAATGGAAGAGAGGAGAACTGGTAGATAGACGAATAAGTAGATAAATAAACAGGTTGACAGGTTAATTAGTAGACAAATTGTTCAACAGGTAACTTATTGAACAGGTTAATTGGTAGACATTTATAACAAGATGACAGGTAAATTGGTTGACAGGTAAAATAGTGTATTGATAAACAGGTCGATAGGTAAATTGGTAGACAGGAATTTGTTGAATAGCTGATGTTCAGGTAAATTGAAGGATATGTGAAATGGTAGACAGGACAGATAAACTGGTAGATAAGACAAGACGGATAAACAGGTTGACAGGTAAATAGGTAGACATGTGAAACTGGTTGATAGGTAAATTGGTAAGTCGGTAAAATGGTATATTAATTAACAAGTTTATAGGTAAATTCGTAAACAAATTGTTGAATAGGTAAATTGTTGAACAGATAGTTAAACTAAATGTAACAAGCACACATCTTTGGTATCCTTTTTAATTTAAACTAAATCAGGGTACAGCTAGTTGTAAATATTTTTGCAGATTTTTCAGTGCTGGATTTTACAAAAAGAAACTCAATGAATATGAATAAGGCCTTAAAAAATAAAAATAAATAGACAAAAATTAAGAAACCACAGAAATTATAAGATTCTCATGATCATGCAGAAAAATTACTAGATCGCAGATTTTACCGTTAAATTTTATTCTTCTCCGTTTTTCGCAGTTTGACCCCTCAATTTGACTTGTTCAGCGTTAAAAAGTATATTGGCAAACATATGTCACACATCCAATACAAACATCTTTTATATTTTGTGGACGTATGTGATTTTTAAATTTAACCTATTTAGAATTTAACCTGGTCCAGTATTCGCAAAAGTAGATTTTATAAAAGATATATAATTCACATTCATTTATTGTTTACAGAAAATTATATATCCTCACATGCAGGAGAATGAAAACGAATGTATTCCTAGAGACAAGTTGCTCAAGGATTACCGAGAAGAACTAGCTCGCAAATGGAAACAGGATGTGGGAGATTCGCCAGATCCAGAGATAGAAAAAACATGGCCTATACCCAGAGCAATGCTTCTACCAGCACCACCATATCAAGCCCAGAATTAGTAACTCAGTGATATCATATCATATATCAGTTGTTTAATAGGATCGGATAAAAATCGCTCGTTTTCTCGCTTAGATATATAAGTGGAACACTGATTGTTCCACAGGAGCACTGGCAAAACAAGCCAATCCCGTTCGCGTATTTTGTATATGCATTTCTCCAATTTCATATAGATTTAACATGATTGTATCGAGCGACATTGTGATTCATTTATTGGCCCAGTACTAAAAAAATGTGTTATTTTGTTAATAAATTGTTTTAATAAGTTTTTAATAAAAGTTTTTTATTGTGTAATTATTGATTATACACTAAATGTATTTAGTTCTTTTATAAATATAGTTCAATTCATAAGATCCATAATGGACAAGTCAAGATTAACACTATATGGGCCGAATTTTTGGTTTACATCCACAAAAACATGAAAACAGTTTATCAGTAATTATAAGCTTATGTATGCCAATTGAAAAACAAAAAAATCTGTTTAAACCAATTTTTCGGTATTAATGAAGAACGTGAAGTATGGTGGGGGAGGATGGTAAATTTTAATATCACGACGTTTCACAAACGGGAGGAGGGTCTAATAATTCCTAAAAATTCGATTACTTGATTAATAGACGCCAAATCAATTTGTTAATCAAATTCAATTATTTTTTTTAATAAAGAATACTGTTAATGTGATCGATGCAGTAGAACCCCGTTAAGATTAGGATCCCGCTCCATATCGAGCCCCGACATTATACGCTTTCTTGCTTAAGACGCGTTTTTAGTCTAAATGGGTTTTACTAAATATAGGTGTATTAAGTATGTACGTACATTTATTAACTTTTTGTAGAGTAAGTTATAGTAATCACGTTCCGAAGATGTCTGAACATTTTGGCATACCTTAGAAAAAATGGATGTGTGTATGAGTGTATGTATGTATGAATGCATTTGAATAATTAAAAAAACATTCGATTCCTACGGATGGGTAGATGTACTAATTAGTTTTTGGCAATGACAGGTCCAGTCATTTCGGAGATACGGAGCTAAGCTTTTGAGAGAATGAAACATCTAATTTGAATGATACAAAAAACATTTAGCTTGTCTTGACAGTGCGAAGAAACGATTAGTTTTTGGGGAAAGCAAAAAAAGGCAAAAAAATATTTGTTTATCAAAAATGATTAAGATTTTTAATTCATTTCTAGATCAAATTCTAAGGCTCTATCTAAAGTTCTAAACTCCACTTATATACTTCAAATAAATAATTTTAACTTTGCAATTCAGTTTATATAAGATTTGATTATGAGATAAGATCCTTCATTCTAACACCGCTTCATTAAGTTTTGTTTATTTACTTTTTATATAAACATATATAATCGTCGTCTAAAATATAATAAATGCAGATAATGAAAGTTACAGTATTTATAATGATCTATTTTAAAATTATTAATATTCCTAGTATATTTCATTGCAGTATGGAAAGTTTCAGCAATTTGTTTTAAGGCACAATTTTATGCACCACTATTTTTATATAGTCTTTAGACATAAGCTTCTTTCTGGCATTAGATTTAACTTTTAGTTAAAATTAATAATTCAAAAGTGTTAAAACTAATAATTCAAACTTTACAATAAGCCTCTGTCTGTAACAATAATATTATTGGGTTATTCGGAAAGTAACTTCGTTTTTTATAGACATTTTGGCACATAATTTTCGAACAATAATCAAATAAATACTTTAATAAATTATGTTTTCGCAGGTTTGTTCAAACTTCTTTTGTCATATTTATGGTATTAGCATAATTCCGAGATCATACATTTATTGGTCGCTATTAGCAATACTGATCAAGGTGTGGTTTGACATGCTGAGGTAAAGGTTTTACCGTCTAAAAAATTTTTTTTGGCCGGAACAAATAATGGTGCGATGATGACAGGTTTGGAGAATATGGTGAATGTGTCATTGGGTCTCATTCAACCTACAAAAGCTTTTGGCGATTGACCAAACTTATGCGCAGTCGTGAAGCAGGACAATACCTTGCTTGTGAATTAATTCTTACCATTTCTATTAGAGTATATCATTCAGTTTATCCAGCTGACGGCATCCGAATTAACCATTATGTTATCCTGGAAAAGCTGAAAAATGAACAACTCCTTTAAAATCTTACCAAACATACCGCATTATCTTTTTCTGACAAATTTCAGCTTTTTATTTGTTTTGTGCAGGTTCTTTTTCGTTTCATAGACAATTGCGTGTATTGTATTCTTTATATCCCATTTGATATTCCTAGTGACAATTTGCTTCAAAACCTGATAATTTTCAGGACTTTTCAGAGGCGAATCGCGGACGTCAGTGCGACGACACACATTTCTTCCTATGAGAACCATATCTTGAGTTTCGAGGAAAATCCCAGACCTTTTGAGTGGCCATGAACTGTTAAATTTGATAAATTGGGATGGGATCTCACGTATTGTTATTCACCGGTTTGCATCAACTAATGCCTCTCTCGCGTCTTTATCAGCTTTAACCGTACTTCTTGGACTTGGAGCATCTTGGACATCAAAATACCAGGAATGAAATTCAGCAAACCAATTTTATCACTGTCGTACTATCAACACGTCATTTCCGTACACATTGGTCAATTTCATTTTGACTTAAACAGTATTTTTATCTTTTCTATAGCAAAAGAGTAAAAGATGTCGAAAATTCAAAGTGGCACCATCCAAAAACTACTGCGTGGAAGTGATAAGAATTTTTTACACGCAAGCCTTAAAAAATAAGTTTTCAAATCAGGGGGCGTCCATTAATCACGTGAGCGAGTTTTTGAGGATTTTTGGACCCCCCCTCCCCCTTGGTGATCCATGGTGATATTCAAAATTACCCCCCTTCCCGCCCCAAACATCACCTGTATTTTCAGTTACATGATAAAACTGTAACTTTTTTTAATTTTTTTTTGAAAATGTTTGTTTTTTTTTAAAAAAAAGTCAGTTAAAAAATAAATACACGTGATATCTTACTATACCCCTCCCTCCCCCACGTGATATTTTGTGATTTTTTGTCAGACCCTCCCCTCCCCCTAGAAACCTCACGTGATTAATGGACGCCCCCTCACATAATGATTATAGGGCTTAAGTGTGATGTTAGGTTCAAAGAAATATAGGTAAATTCTGGTGGTAAAAAACGAAGTGACTTTTCGAACAACTTTATATTAGTATGCAATGGCTTTAAAAAATAAATATAAATAGAATTTGATGATTGTTTGAATATTATATATTTGCAAAATAATTTAATTTTAAAAATAAATATTTCAATTGGGAATAAACTTTTCAGCGTTATTATTAGTTAATTAATGAAAACGGAAATTGTTTTATAAAATTTGAAATCTTCAACGGCTACCAACAGTAGTAAGTTGCTCAATATCCCCCTAGTCATCGTGCAAGATACAAGTGTTGGCTCAACTGATATCGCAGACATCGCAAGTGTTTATTTATTTGTGTTATCTGTCATTGCAAGTTGACAGATCGTATCACTTCAGAAAAGTGATCTCTCTAAAAACCACCCATCAGTCAAGTTTCAACTTTCAGATAAATTTTAGTATTTAAAAAAGTTAACTTAAAATTATCAGAATATTCCAGTGCTGCCGCGTGTACATCTGAACACTTCATTCTACTTTCCGCTTTAGTTGATAACATAATTGCTTTTTTTTTCGATTTTTAACTATGGATACCTATGAAAGTGTCTTGTTAGTTAAATCTGAAGTATTTGTTTTCAAAATTCCGGCACGTACTTCCAATCGAGGATACAGGTTAGTAACGACATAAATTTATTGATTATTTATATGACATGTAATTTCAAGAAGGTACCTCTGTACTATAATAAAGAATATGACCTGTTCGAGCCTTCTCTCATATGTTTAGCTACCTACACTTTAACTGAGATCTGAAACTATGAAAAAAATCTTATCAATCCTTATATCAAGTCTCGAGTTGAAGTAGTCTTTATCTTTCATTTGAGTTAGCCTTTGATTTGAATTTTTTTACAAATATATATGTATATATATGAATATATGTATGTGTGTGTGTGTAAATATGTATTTTATAAATAATTTATCTCAATTTTCTTTTTAGAGCCGATGATTGGAATTTGACTGAGCCTTCATGGACTGGCCGCATGAGGCTTGTTTGCAAGGGGTCACTTTGTACAATTAAGTTAGAAGACAAAGCAACAGGAGAACTTTTTGCACAATGCCCTATAGAAAGTTATCCGGGCATTGCAGTAGAAGCTGTTACTGATAGTTCTCGATATTTTGTTTTGCGGATTCAAGACGGTTCAGGTAATTAAGTATATTTATAATAAAATTTGTATTTAGCTAAAATTCTTGAAATAAACTTTATACAACAAAATGTTACAATATTATTAATGAAGGTTATATTATAATTTTATTGATAATATTTAAATATCTATATCATGGAACACCTAAAGTTGAATTGAGCTTATAATAGCACTCCATATTATCTGTTTTTTTATACAATTATAGTGTACTACTGATTAATAATTTAACAGCAATAAGGAAGCAATATATTTGAAAAACTTAATTTTAAAAATTTGAGTGTGTTAATTAACTAATTTAATTAAAATCAATTACTATTAATTATGTTTAATGCTTCAAATAACAACTCTGTTACCTAATAACTTAAAACTAAATTATTGAACTTTATTGTTGAAGCACTCTATTAATTTTGATTTCAACTATTTTGAAAACTGTAGATAATGATAAAATTGTCTAGTAATATTTGAATACTATTGCTAGATTTGTGAAAATATAATGAAGATATCGAATTGGAAAAAAATTTTGTTCATTTACTTATATATAAGTATTTAATTGTTTGCCACAGTTGTGTTTATAGTATGTTTTATTCTAGGTCGATCTGCATTTATTGGTCTTGGTTTTGGTGACAGATCTGATTCATTTGATTTCAATGTTGCTTTACAAGATCATTTTAAATGGCTTAAGAAAGAGCAAGAAATTGAAAAAGAGAAGGTTGAACCTCAGCAAAAACTGGATCTTGGTTTTAAGGAAAATGAAACAATTAAGATTAATATGAAAATAACGGTAAATTAGATTCTTTTTAGACAGCATATTTGTTACATTTATAAAATATTTTGGACCCATTAACAAAAATTTAGTGTGTAATATATTATTCACATTCGATCATCTTTCACACTCCTCAAATATATATCATAAGTAAGATTAATCTATACCTTTATGTGAGTGTACAATTTTGGTAATTTTCACAACACAAAAAAATTATTCAAGTTTTAAACTTTATTAACAAAAAAAATGCTTAGACTTATAATTAGTAATAAATTTTGTGCCTATTCATTGCTTTTATAATAATCCTCTATGAATTCATTCAATTGATTCAAAGATTTATTTTTTCATTCAAAGCACAAAGATTTGGAATATGCACATTATTACGGTATAATTTTGTGATTATAGTATGTGTTTTAATGTATTACAGAAAAAAGATGGTTCTGAATCATCAAAAAGCAAACCTAAAGTTGGAATTAGTCCTCCAGGTTCTAGTATTTTACCACCTCCACCTGGTAATTCAAGTGGAAGGATTGCTCCACCTCCGAGTAATTCTGCAAAATTAAGCCCAGCCCATAAAAATAATGTCGCTGCTTCTGGACAAGACTGGGGAGATTTTGCTTCAGCTGCAAGGTAATAAAAAAAATATTATTTCGATAATAAAAATAATTATTGTTTTATAATAAAAACTCAAATAAACTAACCTGTAACAGGCACTATAGTATAAATTCAAAAATCAATTTTCACCTTTATTATATTAATTTTCTTGTATTAATAGCAATGAATATATTTAAAAAGTTTTGGCAAAATGAATTTAAAACATATTTTTGAATTCAAAAAAACTCACTGATGAAGCGTTGCAGATGTGTATTTTACTTTTATGACTTCTATATAAAATAATTTTAAATAATTATAAAGTGTGTTATTACATTATCACTTTTGATAAGACTATGATTTATATGATTTTCAGTGGTAATGCTCCTGTGAAACCCCCAGCCGAAACGACAACAAATAGCAATTGGGTTCAATTTTAAATTATAATATTGAAAGCATTCCAATCGATCTTAAATATTTAATATATGTTTGTATAATAATCTACTTGTTTTAAATTGATATATCATATATTTTAGAGACCCTAATTGCATAAAAATAATATATATATATATATACATATAAATCAAATGTATTACTTTATAAGCATATCATAAGTTGTTTTCTTTCTCACATATTCATCTAAAAATCAGAAACACCAGAAACTATTTTCCAAAATCGCTATTATGTTAAAATATAGTTTAATTGATATATGACAATTAGTGATTAGATTTTTTATGTAGAAAGTTTTTGTTAAGATGAGTTTCTGGTTCCAGCAGTAAGCAATAGTGTATAATGTGTGTATACATTCAATGTCTTTCCTTATTCAATAAGATTAACTAATGTGTGCAAGATTTACTTAATTTTGAATATGTGTATTTAAGAATTAGCATACTTTTGGTAGAATATGTTAACATATATATATATAATACTGTTAAATTGTTATTATAAATGTATATAAAAAGAAATATACTACAATTTAGAATAATTTTGTCATTAATAAACTATTCATATTTATATATATATATATATATATATATATATATATATATATATATTTCTTCATTTCATACTTCGATGCTTTTGTAAGTTTTTCTACAAGTTGAGACCACATCCCTTCTGTAAATTTGTTTGTCAGTAGGATCTTTTTTTTCTCGCGATAGCTATATTTTTGTATTTGTTTAAAGATTAAATATAACAATGATATTATATGTAAGCTTAAGTTTAACATGATTCATATATATGTTTGTGAACCTCTGCAGCTTCTCCATTATGAGAATAATATACATAATATGTATACACTTGCTTGCACCGAATATTCGGTTACTATTCGGAACATGTGAAAAACTCTTTCCTGAATATTCACAAGATACTTTATTGTTGCATGTTTATATAATTTAATATAAATCATATCATATCATATCAAATCATAGAGCTACTATTGGCACTTTATTGCAAAATATACAAGCAATATGTTTGATCATTTTTTATTTATTTTATTATGATTAGCATTCCTAATATATAAAAAATAATATTAAGTTTATAAAAGAAAATATTGAATTTTTAAGAAAGAAATAATTGGAAATACAATGGTGCCAAAAATTCCAAATAACAAAGAGTAGCCAAATAGTGGTTGCAAGTCTAGACATAAAAATTAAATAAACGTGTAGCTTGTTAGTAATATAACAATTATTGATAGTAATTACATTAATACAAACGAGCTTAGGCGCCAAAAACCTGCAGAATAGTTGCCGAATATTCGGTATTCGGTCTCTGATGCATACCAAATATTCGGTATTCGGCGTTTTACAGAATATACTATTCGTTGCAAGCCTAAATATGTGAAATATAACTTTATGGGCTTATTATAAGTTGACTTCAAATTATTAATAGCTATAAATAAGTAGTTCAAATCTAATTTAAATTTATATGTTTTATTATATCAAATAAACAATTAAGTTAACTATTTGCCAGAACTGAAAGTTCTGTTCCGCATATTGGACTGGGTTGTTTTAAAACATTTCATATAAAATGAATAACTAATTCATTAACTTCATTGTTAAATAATTTTAAACATCAATAAGGGAGTAAATGATTTTAAATACGATTTTTAGTGTTATTATTTTCACAAAATTCCAGTATAAATAAAAATAATTAAAAAATATGTTAAAGAAGTACGTTGATATGCTATGTACATATTTATTTATTATGTTATATTAAAGAAATTTTAAAATACAATCTTGAGAATAAAATTATTAGAACAAAAAGTAAATTTTAAATTAACGAAAATGGCCGCGTGAAATTTATTCACATCTGGCAACACTTTTTGTCCGTCCATAGTGACTGTCCTTCATTGTTGGTTTGTAGCTGTCAGTTTCTATGGAACCTGCAATTTAGTTGGTGTTGTGTCGATTTATGTTCAGTTTGTCAGAAGTTTTATTAAAATAAAATAGTGTGTGTGTCAATATGTGCTGTTTTTCAAGAGAAAAAATTGTTGAAATACTTTACTAATTCATTTGTAACAGTGTAGTCTTTGTGAAAATGGTTTAAAATGTGTTTTGAATCCACTTACTTCTCTTTATGTCAAAGGCAGTATTGTCTTGGAAGTAAAAAAGATTGTAAATTATTTAATAGTGCATGTAAATCTAAAAGATCAAAGTTTAATATCTTAAGTAATTATGTATTATGATCTGCAACAATGGTAACTTCAGCAATGACTAATAACTACAGTGTTGTAGTAAATATTTACTATGATAAAATAATCGACCTAAATAATATGGACAATATTGGTACTTAGTAAATAATAATATTCCACTATTCTTAAGTGTTTAAAATAGATTTTGTGACTAGTTCAGTGATAATTAATATTATGAATGCTTCTGGATATTCTTCGGATACTGCAGTGCGTTACAATAGAGTGAGTACTTACAATATATAATTTTAGTCTGTCGATACACAATTTATAATTATCATAACTGTTTGTGGCATTGGTAGTAAATGTTTGATTTGCCAGTTTAAAAGTTTTATAATTATTACATGTTTATATAAATTATTATAAGCGATGGCGATTCGAAAACTTGGGCTATGAACTATAATTGCTTTAATTAAAATAAATCTAATTAAACATCTTCAAAGATTCAAGTTACTTCATTCTTTCAAGTTACCCTCATACCAGATACCCCTTTTATGAAAATAATATATAAAAAATAAAAATAAAAAAGTTACAGCGTACAATATTATTTACATAAGCTAAATTATTTTTGTAATTAGATAATTATTTACATTTTCCGACAATTTTTCTAATTACATCAGTAGTTTTACTATAATAGTAAAACGGTTTCAAAATTATATATTTACATATGTCAAAATTAAAAAAATTAAAAAACTACAAATTTACTTGAAGAGCGTCGGACAAAAATCAGTGAAAACAATAGTTATTAGAATTAGAATAAATAGATATAAATTTTTGATAATATTGGATAATTGAGATCACAATTTTGTGGCAAACTACATTTTATTAAATACAAACATTAGACATTATTTCTAATTTATCTATTTATTATTTTCAAAAATAATGTCCAATGTTTTTATTTAATAAAATGTAGTTTGCCACAAAATTGTGATCTCAATTATCCCATTTTATCAAAAAATTATATCTATTTAAATATTTTAACAAATAGTATTACATTTGTATCTACTTGCACCATTATCACGTCAGTTTATTTAATTTTTGCATTATTTAATTTCTTTAAATGCATTTCTGTTTTTTTATGTTAGATTTTATTAATTTCGATCGTGTTATTATATTATTTACGCAATATTATTACTTTCGATTATAAAACCTCTAATATTGTTTAATTTACAAAAGAAAGCTATCAGAATCATATTTTATTATTTCTGGTAATTAAAATTCCAATAATAGTGCTATAAAATTGAAGCTAATGCGTTTTAATTGAAAAAAGTAATTAGATTCAGACTTATATAACTAATACTGTTATGAATATTTTATTGATAGTTTGAGGCACAAAGGTCCAATTTGAATTTGAGCAATTATATTGTGAAAAACAAACCAATTATATCACAACAAATAACACAAATCAAACGAACAAATATCTGACTATGTTCAGTAAAACTCCCAGCTCATCTATCATTGTAAAAATATTTCTTGCTGTTTTTCAAAAAGGGGGGGGGGAAAGGTCCAATGTCTAATTTTCAATTTTAAAGAGATTTCACAAAATAATAGCTACATTATACATCCAAAGCACAATATCAATTTTATGGATACATTTTTTACACAGATAACCTTGTATATAATCTTCATCTGGTATTTCGTCAGAAATATTCATTAGAAGAGTTGAAATAACTGTTTAATTTTTTTAATTTTTTTTAGTTGGCTTTCAATACCAATATACAATATTATATAAACAAAACTTATATATTAATGCTACTTATATCTTTATTAATTACTTAATTTAATAAAATTAAGCAAAATACTATAACACATTACATTACTATTGTAACTAAATTAATTGTTTTTTCTATGAAACTACACTCATGCTTATTTAATTTATCTCTTGTAAAAGTTCCTTTTTTACTTAATAATTATTTTTATTTACTATTTTTCACTGTTTACACCTTTGCCAGGGTAAATGTTTAGCTGATTCTTTTTACCTCTCCACGTATAAGCTTTTATAGAGGTTATATAAAAAAACTGTTGAATCTAACTTAAGATCAACAATACATTTTATAAAACAATTAAATAGCGTATACGTATATGTACTTAAAAATTACATCAAGGGGCGTCCATTAATCACGTGATCAAATTTTGAGGGATTTTTGAACCCCCCTGCCCCTTGGTGATACATCGTGATATTTAGGATTACCCCCTTACCACAACTAAACATCACGTGTATTGATACATGGTGATATTCAAAATTTTAAAAACCGGTTTTTTAGTGAAGGTCGGTTTTCACTGTATAAATGGAAAATGACAAATATAGCCAAATATAAAAGATAGATAAAAGCGTTTTGATTCTTGAAATCATATCGGTTCAATATTTGAATGATTCTTGAAATCATATCATATCGGCATTTGATATCTTATCAGTCTGCAATGGTTCTAAGAAAGGTTTTGTATATATTAATTTAGATTTTTATACCAGTGTATATATTAATTTAAATCAGTGTGACTTCTTCTTGACGAAGTAACTTCCTCTACTCAAACTTAAAAAAAGGAGTTTTAAAACCTAGAAGCCACAAATTAAAGAGCAAAAAACTTAGAATTATTATATCAGGCTTTAAAAACAATTAAGCATAATTTGGTCGCATGTATGAGAGTATTTTCTATTTCAGGAAATATTGCGAGTAAACAAAGGACACGTCTAAGTAGCAATTCGATAGACGTTCTACGTTTTTTTAAATCATACTTTATTAAACAAAAAACAATTAGAATGTTTAGAATTAATTAATTAAAATAGCTCGGAACAGACAATACCCGAGTTTAGCTTAATCATTTTTAAAACTAAAATTGATATTAAGAAGTATGTATCAACATGTATCTAATTTTTTTTAATTTAATCAATTTTTTTTATTTAAAAATGTATTATTTTAATTTATTCGAAAACTTTCCTAAATATTTTTATTCTTATATGCGAAAATGATGCATGAATAACGAATAATTATTTTCAAAGTTACTTAAACCAGATAAACTATTGTTTTTAGTTCTACTTATCAAAATTAAAATAATTTGGTTTACTATCTATAAAGTTGAACAATAAATAAATTCAGTCAAATACTGCTCTAAATTACACTAAATTTGCGGATAAATTACAGAATATTCGAGCAAAAATTTATTTTTCATATAAAATTCGAAAACCGGTTAAAACCGGTTTTTTAGTAAAATTAAAATTCGAAAACCGGTTATCTGAAATGTCGGTTTTTGTATAAACCCTAATTCTAATTAAATTCTCGTAGTAATATAGTATAACATTCAAAAAGTTTCAATTATCTCGTTTTTTCGTTCAGGTGTATTCTTGTGAATAATAAATTACACGAAAGAAGTATGGAGGATTTTTATTACTGAATTTACCTGGAAATTAAGTGTACCGACATTCCGGATAATGTTTCTGATATCTTAAAGGCCGTATCATTCGCGATTTTCAAACGGATCCGTTTGTGTGTGTATAATGTATAGGTAGAACATACGGCCGACTTGCCTGTCTGCTTTCGTGGAACGGTTACTAAATGATACTCCTTTTAATTAATTTAAAGGCTGCTGTATTACATGTACATATGCTAAGGCAAAATATATACGTAGCAAGAATGGGGTAATGGTAATATGATATTGATTATAGTAAAATATTATTTAATTTTTAAGCAAGACGTGTTTAAATGCGTTTATAATTAACACTAGATTTACGGATGTTGGTTTATACTTGTTTCTCTATGGTTATATTATACCTATTTATACTGAAGTTATATTATATATTATACTTATTTTTACTGAAGTGAGACAATTTAACTCATGCAAGAATAAGAATTTTTTGGGAAAAAATAGTTCCAATCCAATTTAAATAAAATGCTTATTTGATCAAGTAGTCAAGTACATCAAAGCCACAGCTAGTAATAAGTTATTGTTTATAGAACAAGTTTTTTATTTTTCCCCTTTCAATTTCAATTTTTATGTTTCGTAATCAGTAGTAAAACTTTTTCTATGAAGATTGCTTTTATAAATGGTCAGGATACAATGCTCAGATCTACACAATTGTGTAAAAAACTTTGTCATTACATCTTCTTTGTCTTGGACGTAAAGTGCCAATCAAAGTAGTATTTTTTTTCAAGTAACTTTTTTCGAAATGAAATAATAGTTGTGGAAAGTTATTATTTAAAAACAAATTATTTTAAACTATGTTAAAAATGGATCATTTGTATAACTCGACATATCGTGATGTTCTATTGGTTTTATGTTTCCTGATCAAGACTGACTCGAATTTCTACATAGTAAATATATAACATATATTTTGTCCACAGCCTAAATATGCTTCTTCAAGCTTAGTTTATCAAAACTTTGCTCAAGGAAATGTTTGATCCTCGGATTTTATCTTTGCTCAAGTACGGAAGACTGTTTACAAGATATTTACTTCTTTACATCGAATTCCAGACATTTTTTTATTATATTTTTAACAGCAATAAGAACCTTACGTCCTATGAGCTGTTGGGCTGAAACTTCTCCTTACTTCGTATTTTTAAATGGTAACCCAATGGTTAATCCATCCATATTTGATGATTTTTGTTCTTAGAATTAATCTAATAGGGCTGACTTTTTATTTGTGCAGCAATGCCGGGCAAGGGTTATTTTCACTTGGAAACATATTTTTATCTATATTTCCAAGTGAAAATCTTTATCACTGCTGCCTGACAACAGGCTGCTCGAAGTGGGTATCGAACCCGGGACCTCTGAAACAAATCCCGTCGCTGTTAACCGCTTACCTACGGCCGAGCTCCAGTCAAAATTTGATGCCTATTTTTTCGGCTTATTCGACATGTACTGCGTAAATTTGGCTCTTCTACAAACAAATTACAAAGTTACTTTGTGCATCAGTTTTTGATTTTGATCAACAAGCTATAATTCTGGGATTGTCCCAAGTTTTTGAAAAGTACTTGATAATAAAATTACAACGTTATTACGTTATAAGACAACGAGTATGCTTATATGAAATTAATACGTTATGAATGAGAAAAATAATACATTAATAACTTTGAACTTTTATTTATTATTTCACAAAAATTATGAAAACGAAACTTTTTACAAATATTTTGAAAGTTTCAAGAATTATCTTAGCTTAAGGTGAATCTTATAAGCATCCAATGTGATTCTTTTAACACTTTTCTTCAAGTATTCTTTATTAACCCTCCGGT